CTCTGGCTGTCCAGAGTGGCAGGCCCTGCCCACGGGTGGCTCCCTGACACTCACTGTGTTCAGATTCAGTCAGCGTCACACAGTCATCTTGAATTGCTTGCCACTACAGTGAGGAACCAGAAAAGCTCTTTTCTGTTTGTTTTTAAGGGGATAGCTTAGCCAGAACGGAAGAGTAACTCGCACTTTACTTGGTTAAATAGGGACAAGTGTCTTAGGGCACACTGTAGGATGAACGAGGAATCAGGGTAATGACTTATTCGAAAAGTGAAACCATTCCCAGTAAAGCATAAGAAAGAGAATTAAAATAAGTGAAATGTTTCCTAATAGACCAAGTAAGCCCTACCACCAAATGCGCTCACGGGGCAGGCTGCTTCCCGTGGGCGGGGCCCCACACAGCGAGCACCGGAGGGGTCAGCTGTGCTGGGCAGCAGGCCGTGGCACCCAGCACACATACACTTGGCACTCAGCTGAGACGGAGCAATGTGGCAGAAAACCGCATGGAATTTTAACCTCCAGGGAGGAGAATGACATCTCTGTCCTCCAGAACTCAGTTATAGAGTGAGAATCACTGGGAAAAGATCACATTCTACAAACTAGCGAACACTCAGACCCACCAAGTTATAACCCAGGAAGGAAGGACAACCCTCATAGCCGTCTGGTCCCAAATTAGAAAGGTGCAAGAACATCTGCATGAAAGGTCTGAGCATTTGCACGAGACGCGTAAATCACTACATTTCCAAGTAAGAAAAGGGTCGCCCCGTCTTACCTTATCGCTGTGAAGGCTGGAATAAAATTACTGACTTAGAGAAGCAACTTTCACGTGTATCTGGACATCAAACACAACACACAATATAAAATAAAAAATAACTAGAACAGAAAAGTTTTCATTCTGACCTTAAAAGTCCTGAGCAAAGCCCTGGATGAAGCCAGATCAAAGGCAGGGCCTTCCCCCAGCTTGGAGCCATATGTGCGGGGCCCTCGCAGGGCGCAGATGGCATGCAGTTGGGGGAGGGGCCGCAAGGGGATCCAAACACAAAGCAAATAAACTTGCTTCGAGGGATCCAGGTAAGGTGCCCCCAAAAGAGGCAACTCCGAATACAACCGGGACAACCGGTGCAAACGGAAGTGTGCTCCCCAGCGGAAGCTCCGAAAGCGTCTGGTGTAAGAGTTGCCATGAAGCTGGAACCCCACGGGGCACATGCGAAGGAGAGAGCTGCACCCCCTATACAGCCATGCACTGGTGGTAAACCTGTTACCTGAGGAAGGTCTGAGAAATTTCGAAGGGATTTAATCTAGGCTCACAAAATTAATAGCTCTATTGAAAACAGAAACCCTATACATCTATTAAAATGCTCAAAGTCCATTAATATTTTCCACTCATCATATAATGTAAAGTGCTGAAATTAAAATTTCACCTTCTTAAACCTTTACTGAAAGTTGCTATTCCAGATGTAAAAAGATGAGAGGTAGCATTAATTTTCTATAGAAACCCCAAAGCGCTCTTACTCACTTCATGCTCATTTCTAGAACACAAAGTTGCTGGCTTAATAATTCCCAAATGAACACTTGTTCGAAACTAAAACTTTAAAAAAAATTCTCTGACTTGAACATTAAAAGTTGAAATTTTCATAATGAAGGCTTGCATTTTATTAAATGAGTTGATCACTTTTTTTTCAGGCAGCAACCAAAACAAAAACATTTAACACAGATCCCTTCGACCTCATGACTTCTGAAGGACACGAGAACATAGAATATCCAAAAGATGATTTTCATTGGATATTCTAGTAAGGGACACTCACCACACACAGATACAATGGGAATCTAAATTTCAGTAGCAATGATGAACAAGAAAATACTGACAATGACTTTGCTTATCATTCACATGGTTTAGGGAATACTTGTTTGATTTTTTGACACTTTTTTGTAGTGAAGAATCCTTCTAGTTTGGTAACAGCTTCGCTAAGCTACAACTAGGAGTGACCATTAATTTTAGTGGAAACTCACTCTCAGGCTACTTTGATAGTCATTTGAACAGTTTTGCGTTATTTTACGTGCAACTTTATGGCTCTATAATGTTCAGTTAATCTTGCTCAATGATGCTGAACCCCAGAGCCGCAGACACTGTAGGAGAGTAGTTACTGCACAGATGGAGTGACTACCTTTCTCTTAGCAGGCTGAGATGGTCTTTGGAAAGGCACCGCTCTACAGTAAAGGTCTGTGCTGCGGCCTTGCAGACAGGCTACCGGTCACTGCCGGGCCCTGCCGTAAAGCTCTCCTTTGCGAGCATCAGCCTCTCCCGGCTTGGTGATGACGGTGCTCTCCAGCCTCCTTAAGGCTGCTGGTATTGAACATTCTAATCAGGGCACCTGCGAGGGCTGGGGGTGGGGACTCTCCCTTTTGTGGGGTTGGATAGAATCTGGGGTTCTCAAAGTGAGGTCTGGGGACCACCCACATGAGCACCACTGGGGAGCTTGTGAGAAGGCAGAGCCGGGCTGGGCTGCTGACCGTCTCTAGGGCCAGGGCTGGGCAGTCTGCAGTCAGTGCCCGGAGAGTCCCTGCCAGTGACAGGCCGAGAAGACTGAGATGATCTCCAAGGTTCCTTCCACTCTAAAATTCCAAGAGTCTGAGAGTTTTAAAAGTGGTGTCCTGTCAGCTGAGTGAATCTGTACGATAGCAAAGGGGACTGTCAGCCTAAATCCGGAGTCTTAGACTTTCCTATTGCATAAACAATAGGCAATAAAGCAGGGGGGGAGGGTCCGGTGTGGGGAGCCTGGGGCTCTCCTCCAGGAGAAGCAGAGGAGCCCACTGCGCACCGCCCGGCCCGGCTCCCAGGAGCTTCGCCTGCACCGCCTCCCCAGCTTCCTCGGCACCTCGGCCCCTCGCTGCTCAGAAAATCACCCAGGCCCCTTACGATCCGAGTCACTGAGCTCTGAAGTCATTTTTAATTGATCTGAGTATATTCTTTTAAGAAATAAACACTAGAGGCAGTCCTCTACTTTCCTGTACGAGTCGACCTCCCGGAACAGAGGGTGGGAAAGGTAAACAGCAGGGGGCTGTAGAAGGGGCGTCCCTGTCTACAAAGCCATCAGACTGCAGTTCTGCTTGTCCCTCGGGCACGAGATTGCAGAACTGTTCCTACACCTCACTGTGCTTCCTTCTTTCTCTGCAGAGCTGCTGCGGCTCAGCGGGGGCCTGGGTTTGAAACTTTCAAGCACATGGTGGGGGTGGGTTCTATCTTTGACGCACGTGTCAGGTGCAGTAGAGCTCACCTGCTGTGGCATCTAACTTCATGAACCCGGCGGACGCAGGAGCCTCGGCGCCCCACAGGGCTGCGCGCCGCGCTGGAGCGCAGGCTGGAAGGCAGCGCCACCATGTGACGGCCCCGGCGAGCTCTGTGGGAGCACACGGGGGCTCTCCCAGGACGGCTGTCTCCTGTGCTAACCAGGCTCCTTTCAAACACCGCCCTGGGCCAGTGCTGCGGTCACAGAGGGAGTGGGACCAGTGAAGGCTGTTATGACAAGGAAGAAGTTTCATTACGTATCCAGGCTCATCAGTGGCCCAACTGGATCAGAGACCTAGTGCTCGACTGGGGACTTGGCTGACAGGCTTGGCGTGTTTCTGGCCTAAGGAATCCAGGGCTGGATCTGGCCTGCAGACTCCAGTGCCCAGCTCTGCCGCCTGCTGGCCCCATGTCCTTAACAAAGGACAGATTTGGGGACGGTTCTGTGGTCAGGTTGTACATTGTATCTAGTGGACTCTATTTTATTCAAAACTTCTTTCAACTATCAAGTCTTGTGACTGTGTACATGAGGGAAATTCAAGAAGCAAGTTGAGGTCAGAGTGAGGATAAACTCCTTTCATGTGTATTAGACTTGTTTTCTTCTCATCGTTTCTCGTCACCTGCTGCACAACTTTAACAGCCACGTCAGGATGAAGGCGCACGTTCCTGTGAACTGTCCCCTCATCTCAGAAGCGGGCACCAGGGGAGGAGCAGGGAAGGCCACCTCCCCTGAAGTCAGCACTTCTGGTGCTTCCAAAGAAAATGGGGACCCAGCCAGTCACTTTGAACACTCTGGCCGCCCTTACCTAGCAGGTGTGCCTTCTTGGGGTAAATGGTGAAGCCCTGAGCACTGACAACCTAGAAATAATGGGAGGTGCAAAAACAGACTGGTTTCAGAGTCCCTGGCTCTTCATCCCAGACCCTGAGGGTTTACAAAGACAAGAAGGTGAGCCTGTGGCTCCTGTGCGTGTCTGTGGGGAGGTGAGGCTGCACCTGCCAGGACTTGGCTGAGAACACCAGACTTCCACTGAAAGGTCCCCTTCCCCAGCACTGGCCGAGGGGGACACGCCCCAGCACTGGCCGTGGGGGACACGCCCGACATCAGAGTCACACCCCACAGCATGTCCCGTGTGTCTCGGAAGAGCACTGGCCTCCTCATCCAAGGTAACGTGAGGTTCTTAAACTGGTTAATCAGCTTCGCTCATACACGTCTCTTTTGAACTAAATATTCAATTAAAGCATTTTCAAAAGCAAAATCTGACAAAATCCTCTCTTCAAGTAATTTAGATGATAGGTTCTTAACTTAGACAAATTAAATCCTTCTCACAGTTGGTATTTTCCACAGGGTCAGAAATAGCTGCACAAGCCCTCTGGTCAAAACCCTGCCTGGCGTGTCAATTCCTGCTTCATGAGCGTAAACAATATAAGCTAGGAAACATCAGTGTGAGCCTAACATTCCTATTTATTTTATTTTTTACTTCCAAAGCTACATACATGCAAAAGTTGAACATATCATCACAATGCCTTTAAATAATGTTCAAAAATAAAAATACTTCAAAATCCCTTTACTTATAGAAGTATACATGACAATTATAATGAAGATAAGTCAATTATATCCTTTTTCTAATCTATCAGAAAAATATTTATATTATAAAAAAGATTTTTATTCATGTCCAGAATAATTTTTAAAATTCTTGATGAATAATAAAAACAAGTTGGATGTTAGTACAATATTTAAAGAAACAAGTTCCAGGCTTTTGAAAAATGGGTATGATATCTCATTTTAAAGTCACTACAGAAACTCAAGTTTAGAACAAAGCATTTAAGAAAACTGCTGTGTGATGCTTGTTACTGTGGCCGATGTGGGCAGTGATGCCAGTGGAGGGCGCGGCGTTCGTGACAGATGCGGTGACAGTCCTTTAGGGTCTGAGTGAAGAGCTGTGTCTGCAGACGCAGGCTGGGCTCGCAGGACACTCCATGTCTCTGCTGGTCAGCACTGCAAGGGGAATGAGAGATCCCGGGAAGGGACGTTCCGAGCTGGGGCCCTTCTGCCTACTGCGTGAGCGTGTGCCAGCAGCCCTGACTCCAAACCACCAGCAGGAGGCGGCATCTTCAGATGACCTGCCTCTTCCAGGTGGGACAGAAGGAGCGGGCATGCCGGGGGGCTGGGGGGACACACAGGCACCTGAACAGTCTCCGTGTCCAGAGGGCGGCTGTCCTGCTACTAGAACCGCACTCTTTGGTGACGTGGTGCAGTATATACAATTCCAAAAATTAATACGAACACATACGCATTCGAAGTTCAATGTTGTGAATGTTCACATTTATCCTGGAAATGAGATTTAACTTCCTGCTCCTAAACAAAAAGGCAAGGGAGAGCTGCCCGTTTTGGGGGACTGCTAATCACTGGAAATTACATCCGACAGGAGCAGGAAGGGGTCATTTAACAAAATGTGTCAGATTGATGTGGAGCGCCCTAAGTAGGTACACCTCCAAAATCTGGAAGACGCTTCATTCAAACAATTAAAGTGTTCCCTCCTCTTTAAGTCAGATGTATAAGGCTTCTTATTTGGAGAAATCCCTTGTTACTGTTTTAAACCTTGCTTTAAGAAGGCCAAATTGAGATTCTGGTTAGAATTATGTTCACAGCGTCCACACCTAGAGTTCGATGTGTATCCTGATACTCAACTGTGATTACAGTTTTCATGGTAGGCAACCCGATTATTACTTTCCTTTTATAGCTAATAAAAAAGTTTTTAAATAGAAGAAATCCAAGATGCGTGTGCTGTCAGTACAAAACCTGACTCAGTGTGTTTCTGTTTCCCCAGGACAGAAGAAACAATGCCCTGTGCACAGAACACAGGAGTGTGACCGTCAGGACAGGCCCGCCCACGGCCTCTCGGGCTCAGGGTGGTGCCCGCAGGCCGTCGGGACTATGTACGTTCTCATGAACCAGGTATGTGCAGCTGCTTAAAAGGAGAATGATTTCTTGTGCCTCAATGAAAGGGGAGTGTACAAAAAAATAATGAGACCGAATAAGGAATTTAAAAGGGCAAAATAAAAACTGGAGTGAAAAAAACACAATTTAGAAAGTAACAATAGACAAAAGCAATGTGACGGTAGAAACCCCCAGCCGCACCCCACCTGCCACTCCAAGTCCTAAGTGCCCATCTGCAATGACAGAAACCCACTCTAAAGCGACAGCATCGGACTTCGGCAAGTCTTCTCGTCACTCTCCCTCCTGTTAAGACCGTTTCCAAAACCACTCAGCAAAGGACAAAGAATTCTTTACAGAGTGCAATTAGGGTTTCCACGTCCACCTTCAAAAGCATGATGCTCTTCATGGGCTAAAGGACAGAAAAAAACAAAAAAGAAAAAAAGGAAAGAAAACTTTGAGCAAAGGATGGGGCAACCCTTCTCTAAGGCATCCACCTCATTCAGTTTCCCCAAATGTTGGCAAGAACTAAAACACTTTGTGCCAGCGACTGCTGGCTGAGCCTCCTTTCCTGAGACGTGATGGCGAGGACCGGACCAGCAGGGGGCAGGCTGCTGCCCTCTGCTGCACTGGACGCTGAGCGACCGACAGGCTGACGCAGAGAACACGTCGGGCTCTGAGCAAGGGCTGCAGGGAAAATGCACCCACAGAATGCAGGGAAGGAGGGGCCCCATCTTACCCGAGACAGGACCATTCACAAGCCTATCTTTAAAAATAAAGTAGGACAAAAATAAAACAAAACAGAAAAAAACACAAGGGTGGTAATAATCATGTCCCCCCCTGAACACCCTGTGTGGGAGATGAGGTTTCATAAAATGAGGGGCCTTTTCCTTTTCCCAAGAGTGATTTTCCCTCCCAGCCCTATTGTCAGGCTTGTAAAATTACTAATTACAATGTAAAAACTCTAGAATAAAAAATTATCAAAACTATTTTTCAAAGACTGAAAACTTCAGCGAGTGGAGTGGGAAGGGAGGCCTGTGGAGTCCACCACGCCCTCCACGGCCCAGGGCGAGGCTGGGTGCTCAGGGACCTGGTTCTCCACCATCGTGAAGCACAGGGCTCTTCTCTCAGTGGCTCTGTGGCTGGGGTCCGATAACCAAGGGCAAGTCAGGTTACCTGAGCTTTGCCCACCACAGGAAGCAGCGAGGAAGGCACAGGTGCACTGGCCCATCCACCCTTGCAGCCCCTCCAACTCTCTGCTTCTCACAAGGACTGAATTCTTCAGGCCGGGGTGGGGAGGGGCCCTGAGAGGGGCCCACCCTGTCCTCAGGATCGCCCCACCTTTTCTTCCCTTGCACAGAACTTTGGGAGAAGCACACCTGAGCTCTCTCAAGGGTGGCTTATAATCCAAAATGATTTAATTGAACATTTTTCACAAGGAAAACTATAAATATTTCAGTTTTTATGCTTTTTTTCTTTGTCAGGAAGATTTTTCAGAGCAGACACAGAAGAAAACCTGGTTTGCTTTGCAATAAAATATACAGTGAGGCTGGTCGCCCAGGGGCCATGACCTCACAGTGACGCCGGGCTCCGAGGATCGAATCAAGAGAGAGGCACTATGCCCGACTGTATCACTTCTGGCGTGAGGGACACTGAGTTGCTGCTGGCCATGGGACAGGGGAAGGGCACAGAACTGGGGAGTCCTGGGAAGCAGAGGAAGCTCGGTTTGCCTCGGCTTGGCAGAGAGGGAATATAGAAATGCTCAAACCCAGGACTCAGCAAACGTTTTCTGGAAAGGTGCAAAAAATAAATGTTTTAGGCTTTGCAGGCCACAGGGACCCTGTGCCAATGACCGGCTCTGCTGCTGCCTCATGCAGCGGCCCCAAGTGATCCGTGCCCAGCGGCACTGTGCAGGCCCGCGCAGCGGACACGACACACGTCGCACAGTGTGCACGGGCTGCAGCTCGCCTGCTTCCCCAGCTCGGGAAGCTGCACCCACTCTCACGGGAGCCTGCACAGAATCAGGCGGAGAGCGGCCAGGCTGGCTGGGTTTGCAGCCTGCCAACCTCTGCTCTAGACCATCCTCACTTCGGAAGAGGCATCTGTCACTGAGCTACTCGAAATAATCTAACAAAATGTGGGGAAAGGGCTTTCTGCACATTGAGAGTTTCTTGGTCAAACCACCCACCTTTATCTAAAATCACATATAACTTATCAACAGCCCCGTTCTCATCCGCCCTGCTGGGAAGCCCGTGCATCGCTGGGCTCTGCGCCCTGTAAAGGAGCGCCACCCCAAGTCCTGGGCGGCCCGTGAAGCGTGCAGGTGCCACCCCGAGTCCCTGGGCGGCCCGTGAAGCCTGCAGGCGCCACCCCGAGTCCCTGGGCGGCCCGTGACGCCTGCAGGCGCCACCCCGACTCCTGGGCGGCCCGTGAAGCCTGCAGGCGCCACCCCGAACCCCGCTTCCAGCTGCTCACGCCCAGCTGCTCCTCGGCAGGCCCAGCCTCAGCTTTGAGCAGCGCCCCGCAGCACGGGCGAGAGCCCCACGAGTGAGGGACTGCCTGCTTCGGATGAAATGAGGAGTCGCTTCTACTTTCCCGATTCAAATTTTTCTTTGAATAATTTTTGCATCTTTAAATGTTAATTTATGCCATTAAAATAGGAATTTCCAGCTCTGTATTACCCACAGACGTCACACTGGTATCTCTTCTTAGGGGTCCACTCAGCTGGATTCAAGTGGCCAAGCTGCACCTCCCCCTCTCAAGAGCCTGCCTGTCACAGAAGCTGAACAGGGACCATTTCTGTTCAGTGTCACCCAAGGACTGCGTCCTCCCTGACAGCAGCTGAACAGCCCTGTGGCCAATGAGCTAATGGACACTCATGTCCCGTTGCACCTGCTGCCAACCCACATGTCACCTGCAAGTGTAATCGTGTAATTTTGAAGTAGAAGGGTCCTTGGAGATCATTTAAGACCAACTTCCTCTCAGTTAGGTGAGAAAGTGGAGGATGGGAAGCTGTGACCTGCACAAGGTCACGCGGTTGAAGTGGCACGGAGTCCAGAGTGCCTGACAAGACCCCAAACTGCTCTCCCCTGGTGAGTGGAGCGTTCGGCCCGCCTAAGTGGCAGACACACTTCCAGAGCATTCCCTGTGGCCGGTCTTGTGGAGAAGAAGGAAGACCGTCCCATCAACATCTGGGTTGGAAATACAATGAACGTTCCCGAAGGAACAAACAGTGTGTCTGCAAGGGTGCGGTGCCCTCTCCTGTGCCCGTCGTCTCAGGCTCCAGGCAAGCACCTGGGGACCCACAGCACCTGCTGCACCTCACTGCTGGGGTCCAGCCACCTGGCCGCTGGCAGGATGTGACTCCCGCCTTCCTGGCGAGGGGCGGGGCGGGGGCACTGAGTGCTCAGCAGTGCTGAGACCTCTCCCAGAGGCACCCTGGGAACCGCCTGTGTCAGTTTCAGTGGGGGCCTCGTGCTCCCCTCAGTGACACTGAAATGAGACGTGTCAGGGCTTCTCAGAGTCAATGAAATGCAGTCGGTGAAAGAACTGGGTTATTGACTTTCTGAACAGTTTGGGAAACGGGACATTTGTCACCCTTGGGAAGGGCTGTCGAGGCTTCGCGCTGTCTCACTGATGAAGTGGTGCCTGGAGTTTGAGCCACCAAACTGGTTTGATAGCACTAAGCTGATCTCATCAGGACAAAAATGACTGTTCAAAAGAGCACACAAAGGCAATGAACATGAACCATGATGGAAACAATGGGCCCACACAGCTATTCACACTTTTAATGTTTCACCTGCGCGTGAATCTCCCTCAGTCCTGTCAGGGTCGTGCGTGATGAGGAAGCTGAGCATCTCGGTAGGGCGTTCAATCATCCCTGTGCTTGGAAGAGTCCTCCAAACACACGTTACACATTCTAAACTCCTGTTTAGGAAGGGATGATTGAATATCCACCTGCCAGCTCATATAGTAACATTTTTGTTATTGTTGCTTCAAATAGAAGGTAAATTTTTCTGAGAATGACAAATTTAAGATCAGGTTTAAATGTTTGAAATGATACATACAACATGTATCTCTTTTTTCAGATCCATGTATTTAGGCAAGAATTAAATCTCCTTCTAATTTCTGAGACTAACCTTTTTATATTAAACATGTTATTGAAATATTTTCTAGATTATAGAATTTCAAATGATTCTGCCTGCACCTCATCTGCAACACTGTTTCTGTGTTTAAAGGCATGACAATCATCTAAGAGGCAGTCACGGGAAACGAAGCACTCACGTTTATAAAACACGGCTCTAAAGGACGTGCGCGGCAGCAGGCCATAGATCTTCTCCAGCACGGTCGCCTCGCCCGCGAGCGAGGCCTTCACATTCCAGACCTGGACCAGGTCGTCTCGGTCGCGGATGCTGACGCTGACTCCGACCACCTCGTCGCCTGAGGGCAGAGGGAAGGAGAAGGGGAGACACTTCAGCTGCGCTCTCTAGGCGCTCACTGTTCTACCTGTGGCTCACGAGTAGGGTGATGAAGAGAAGGTGGCACAAGAGAACCCACAATAAATATTTGTTTCTAAGGAGAATTGTTGGACAAACAGCACGTTACTGGGCGAGAGCCATAGCAATGACATCACGTTTCACCAGGGACTTAGATAAACCAAGTGTTCTGGCCAAACACATTTTCCAGATAAGTAATTTACCCCTTTTAACACGTTACCAAAGCTTCTTGACTATTTCTTACTGTTTCGATGAGACTTTTTCTAAAATGAGTTGCATAACTCTGTCCTCTGAAAGCCAAATGAACTCAAATGAACTTTTCCTAGATGCTTGACTGTTTCAGTTGAAAACAGCAAGTATTTCTCCTGACTTCCTGCCACGCGTTCAGGTGTCTTGGGGTGGCAGCACCATCTGCCTCAGCACCAACTGGAGGCCTGTGCCTTCCCAGGTGCTCTTTCTGCGGTTTGTCTCTTCCCTCCCAGGTCTGCCTGTTCCAGGGCTTCCTCCAGCCATCATCCCCATGCCGTGTGGGCTCTTCACTGAGGGCCAGAGAATCCAGGACCATCTCTGTGTCAGGACTGTGTATAAAGGACGAGGACACATCTTTGGAGCGTGCTATGCTGTGACGGTCCTGCAGTAGATGGACGTTAAAGCATTCATCCATGTGAATCAACAAGGTCTTAACAACGACGCCATTCTGGATATTTGGGGACAGCAGGTATCTCAGAATGGCTGCTTGTAAGGTGCTGCTGTCCTCGCACACATTCCCTTGCAGCCCGCTCTGTGCACAATATCTGCAGCCCACTGTGCACACTGACCTGCAGCCCGCTCTGCGCGCACGGACCTGACCTGCAGCCCGCTCTGCGCGCACTGACCTGACCTGCAGCCCGCTCTGCGCGCACTGACCTGACCTGCAGCCCGCTCTGTGCACAATATCTGCAGCCCACTGTGCACACTGACCTGCAGCCCGCTCTGCGCGCACTGACCTGACCTGCAGCCCGCTCTGCGCGCACTGACCTGACCTGCAGCCCGCTCTGCGCGCACTGACCTGACCTGCCGCCCGCTCTGCGCGCACGGACCTGACCTGCCGCCCGCTCTGCGCGCACGGACCTGACCTGCAGCCCGCTCTGCGCGCACGGACCTGACCTGCAGCCCGCTCTGCGCGCACGGACCTGACCTGCCGCCCGCTCTGCGAGCACGGATCTGACCTGCAGCCCCCTCTGCGCGCACTGACCTGCAGCCCGCTCTGCGCGCACTGACCTGCAGCCCAATGACAGGAGTGAAGACTTCAACTCCTGGTTCACATGCTCCTGACATATTGATTAGGGCCAGCTCTCTGCACTTGGACACTCAGCACCAGTACGTAAAAGGAGAAAGGTAAGCATCAAGATTAGATGTTGCTTTAGTAAATATGCTTTGCCCAGTTTGTTGCAAATCTGTAAATCTAAATAATTAATGGCATCAGGTCTTCCAATGGTCTTCTGCAAGTTAAAACATTCTAGTATTTAGATACAATTTAAAAAGCACATGTCCAATTTACTAAAGGAATTCATCTTTACTAAAATAATTCCTTTCTTTCCTCCTTAATTCTCTCCCTCAGTCCCTCTTCTTTCTTTCCTTATTAAATAATTCTGGTCCAGCTAAACACTCAAGATGTGGCCCTAAATGGTTCCATTTACACAAATGTTTGAAAGCAGGTAAAACTGGCCCCTGATGCTGGAAGTGGGTTGGTGGCATGTTTGGGGTAGGGGGAACAAAGAGGGTTCTGGGAGGTGGATGTTCTTTCTGCCCCTTGATGTGCTCCCCACAGAGATCTGTTCACTGTGTGAATATCTGTCAAGCTATGCGCATTGGGGCTTGTGCGCTCTCTCATTGTGTGTCGCATGTAACAACCTTCAGAACACGAAGAGCCTGGCCGCGCTCCCAGAGCGCTGGCCCGCAGAGTGTGTGTTTCGGCCACACCCACAGTGCCCTTGCGGGGCTCAGTCACGTCCCATTTTGCGTGAACACAGTCACTGCATGAAGACACAGCTCACCACTCTCAAGAACGGTCACGAAGTTGCCAGATCTGTGTTTTAGGAAAATATCCACGTTCTCCAGGCTTCTGACATGGCCCACATTTACGCTTTGGCGAGGGTGCCGGAGGTGCTGACAACTGGTGTCTCAGTGTGGCCTGGCTCCTGGTCACTGGGCAGAGCCCACTGGCACCGCACTTTCAGGAAAGACAGGGAAAAGGCTGCCACTCTTACCAAGGGCAGGTCCATTAGTAGACATGGGCCAGCACAGCAGAGGCAGTCAGCAGACCCCGACTCACAGGGTGCTGCAGCACAGGCATCAGAGCTGGGAGGAGCTCGGTCTGCAGCAGGCTGGCCCTGGACGGGGAGCTGACCTGGTCTGCGTGGCAGAGCCAGGCTGGCCCTGGACGGGGAGCTGACCTGGTCTGCGTGGCAGAGCCAGGCTGGCCCAGGACGGGGAGCTGACCTGGTCTGCGTGGCAGAGCCAGGCTGGCCCTGGACGGGGAGCTGACCTGGTCTGCGTGGCAGAGCCAGGCTCATGGGAGACGGATGGTTGACAGACAAGGGGCTCCCCTTTCCTGAACCAACCGCAGAACAACAGGTCTCCTTTACTCATCCTGACTATCTACCATTACTTGGATAATTTTCCCTGGTTCTGGAAACAGGAATAGTTCACATGGAAAACTTCCTCTCCCAGGGATTTCTGCATTTATAATTATACCCAGGACACATTTTGGCTGCACACTGTGAAACTGCTAACCACTCCCTATTAAAATAAAAGGAATCTATTTTTTTTTTAATGCTCACCAGAGGATATGTTTCCATTTATCTTCAGATAGAGCAGAAGGGAAGGAGGGAGGAAGAGAGAGAGAGAAACATTGATGTGAGAGGGACACATCGAGTGGCTGCCACCCACACGACTTCAATCGGGGCTGGGGACAAACCGCAACTGAGGTACGTGCCCTTAGCGGCAACCAAACCCGAGACTCTGATCTGCGGGCCAACGCTCTAACCATTGAGCAACACGGGTCAGGGCAAGGAATCTGTATTTTTAAGACAATTTCTTCTCACCCAGGTGTGTGAATAAAAAGGTGGTGTGAGGAGAAAGCAAAGCGAGCGTGGTTCTCGGGAGCGCGTGCGCGGAGCCCGCACAGCTGGGGCCCGGCTCCCCGGTTCCCACACGCCTGCGGATTAGTCAGCACATTTCATTAGAGCAGAGTCATGACTGGAAGCTGCACAGGAAACATTTTGTTCTAAATGTTACATCAGAAGCATCCAGAAGGAATTACCAAGAAAAACAAAACTTAAAGCAAGCAATTCAATTCCCCTTTCTGAGTGATTTCATGATTGGCAACAGAGCAGAAGAGAAACGGACTCACAGGGCTCTCAGACGTTCCCTCAGTGTTTGAAAACGGTCTTCAAAGTCAAGTTCTGAAGATCTCATATTTTAGCCTCAGTTGTGGGGAGTCCCAGCTAACAGTGTGGGTGCCTCCTGCCTTTCCTTTACTGCTCCCTTTGAGCAGGGATGAAGGGAGGACCAGGCGGGAGGGTAAGGAGCCGAGAGGCTCCGAAGGAATGAGGCCCACCTCCCTGCAGACATCCCCGGACAACCCGCAGACAGCCCTGGATGACCCATGGACAGCCCCGGATGACCCATGGACAGCCCCGGATGACCCGCAGACAGCCCTGGATGACCCATGGACAGCCCCGGATGACCCGCGGACAGCCCCGGATGACCCGCAGACAGCCCTGGATGACCCGCGGACAGCCCTGGATGACCCGCGGACAGCCCTGGATGACCCATGGACAGCCCTGGATGACCCGCGGACAGCCCCGGATGACCCATGGACAGCCCTGGATGACCCGCAGACAGCCCTGGATGACCTATGGACAGCCCCGGATGACCCGTGGACAGCCCCGGATGACCCATGGACAGCCCCGGATGACCTATGGACAGCCCCGGATGACCCGCGGACAGCCCCGGATAACCCATGGACAGCCCTGGATGACCCGCAGACAGCCCTGGATGACCTATGGACAGCCCTGGATGACCCATGGACAGCCCTGGATGACCCATGGACAGCCCTGGATGACCCGCAGACAGCCCTGGATGACCCATGGACAGCCCCGGATGACCCATGGACAGCCCTGGATGACCCGCAGACAGCCCTGGATGACCCGCGGACAGCCCCGGATGACCCATGGACAGCCCTGGATGACCCGCAGACAGCCCTGGATGACCTATGGACAGCCCCGGATGACCCATGGACAGCCCCGGATGACCCATGGACAGCCCCGGACGACCCGCAGACAGCCCCGGATGACCCATGGACAGCCCCGGATGACCCATGGACAGCCCTGGATGACCCGCAGACAGCCCCGGATGACCCGCGGACAGCCCTGGATGACCCGCAGACAGCCCTGGATGACCTATGGACAGCCCTGGATGACCCATGGACAGCCCCGGATGACCCATGGACAGCCCTGGATGACCCGCAGACAGCCCTGGATGACCTATGGACAGCCCTGGATGACCCATGGACAGCCCCGGATGACCCATGGACAGCCCTGGATGACCCGCAGACAGCCCTGGATGACCCGCAGACAGCCCTGGATGACCCATGGACAGCCCGGATGACCTGCAGACAGCCCCGGATGACCCATGGACAGCCCCGGATGACCCATGGACAGCCCCGGATGACCCGCAGACATCCCCGGATGACCCGCAGACAGCCCTGGATGACCCATGGACAGCCCCGGATGACCTGCAGACATCCCCGGACGACCCGCAGACAGCCCTGGATGACCCATGGACAGCCCCGGATGACCCGCAGACATCCCCGGACAACCCGCAGACGGCCTCGAACGACCCACGGACAGCCCCGGACAACCCGCGGACGGCCCCGAACGACCCACGGACAGCCCCGGACAACCCGCGGACGGCCCCGGACGACCCACGGACAGCCCTGGACTAACTGCAGCGCCCCCCTGGAAGAATGAGAACAGAAAACCAACCACAAGCTGTGTTAAGAGCCCAACTGATACCAAATTTTCTTTTCTTTCCGCCTATTTATTTTGGACAGATGATCAGATACTCTCATGATGAGTTAGGAGGGAACATACATGTGCATGTACACAGATGTATATGTAGTGTACGCAGACATAAATGTGCATGTGTACATACACATAACAGTAAATGCCACATCACATGAAAAAAAGGAAGTGACTTCAAAGTTACAAAATAAACGACTTCAAAACATGTAGCGAGTCAAACGCACGAAGCTGAGTGGTGAGTGGGCAGCAAGCACACGGCGGCCACGGCTCTTTACCTGCTGCGGCGCAGTCCGCGAACTGCTCCCCGACAGCCGCTAACAACAACTCTTTCCAAACTGTGGACTGGGGTGGGAAAGAATGAGAAACAGAAACAAAACCAAAGAACACAACATATATATATACTTTTAGACAGTTATAGCCAAGAAGTCCCGCTTTCCTCAGCTTCATGCACACTCTCCACACCCGAGTCCAGAGCCTACACCTCCACAGTGCAGGAGTCAACACGCACAGTGGTGTGCGTTGTCCCCAAAACTGACAGATGCAGTGATCCAGAGTCACAGACTTCGTGTCCAAAGACCTTGTGTCCTAAGTCACAAAGCTAATTTCTAGCGAAGCCCCTGATGACATTCAGACAATGGGGGATGCCTTCAGTGACGTAACTGATTTCTTCACCTCTCCCTGCCTCACATCCACAGCTACCGTGAGTACTGTTAGCAACATCTTCCTTTTAAACCCTCTCCTCTGTCTTCCCTGCAGTTTATAAAGTACTTCAAAGCTTACACAAGTAAAGAACACTTCGCACTTCTGGGTCATTGAATACTAGACACGTGCAAATCTCCACCCCTCACGACAGACTGTCTCCGAGTGACAGTGGTCATCAGCCTGTGTGCGCATCCCCCAGGAGGGTTACTGCATGGCCTGTCTACCTCCTACCAGCGAGAACAATGGAGTCCTTTCTACTCAAGATCTACTAATGCCATCCAACAAACAGGTTATTGAAAGCCTGAACGTTCTTCCAGTTATTCCCCCCTGGGAAGTTCTTAGTCCCATCTATTCTCCTTGCCCTGGCCCACAGGCTCTGAATTCTCCCAGAACCGGGTTTGAAGCCCGTCAGGCTGCTTGTACCTGTGAACCAGGGCAGGTTATCGGGCTCTCTGAGCCTGTCTCCACAGGCGAACATGGAGTGATAACAGGGCCCGACCTCCCAGGGTTGCCGTGGCCATAAATTAGTCAACAAATGGGGTCCAAGGACTTGGCCCTGTGATTGTAGCCAATGGACGCAGCTGCTCCATAAACAGCTGTGTCTGCTTTCGCCAGGGCCTGCCTACAGGTCAACCACAACAATCGTGTTTATTATTACCCCCTAAGGAGCTGGAAGCAGCCTAGCTGAATTTTTAGCCCAGATGACAGCAGTTAAGCATTGTGACCTGTTAGTCTCAAGAAGGGTTTTCTTTTCTCTTTCCTAGACTTCCCTTCTGGTCTACTTGTCTCCCATCTAGAAGCCATCCCTTCCATTTTCTGTCTGTCCCAGCTGCAGCTGGTCTCACACTGCTGGTGGTGAAGCGGAGGGGGCGGGGGGAAGCTGGGGAAGGCGGAGTCCCTGTCCTGTTTGGGTGCAGACGAGGCTGGCCACGGGCCTCGCCCTCGCTGACAATGGGGCGTGCACGGCTCAGGTGATGGTGGTGCAGACGGGATTATTTGGGGCTGGATGTGTCCATGTGGACTTCACCAGGGCAGGACAGACAGGCCTTTCGGCCTCTTCATGGAAAGTTGGCAGCATGATTGTTTCTACCAGAATTCAAAGTCAAGTGTCAGAAAATCACATGAAAAGAAAAACTCGTTCTTACTGAAATTTTAAAAACCTTACATTTCTCCTCTTACACCATCCGCTTTCTCTCCTTTTTAAGGGGACAGTGGATTCATAGGCCTTCCTGACTTGACGGGTAGTCCACTCCCCTGATATTTTTATTGTTTGCCAAATATCAGGCAGATCTTGGAGCTCTACCTCTTGACTAGCAGCATGCGTCTCTAACAAGTAAGTCTGGGAGATCTGTAGGTGCTGAGAGAGAAAGGTCCTGTGCAGACCCACGTGTCGGTCCTCTGAGCTCACCACGTGAAAAGGCCGTGGAAAGCTAAGAAAGAGCAGCATTTGCCCTTTCATCTGTTTTCAAAGAAGCTTTCGGTTTCCCAGGGCTCAGGGACAGACCCGAACACTCACTTTCCGTCGGCAGGATACAGGAGAGCCCACCCACTCCTGAGAAATCGGGGTTCCCCAGGCTTGGCAGCGGCCCAGGCAATTCACTCCTCCAACCAGTTCCCACCAGCCTCAGGTGGAACCTCCCAGCATCCCCCTCTCCACGCCATGGTCATTCTCAGAAACACTCTCCTCCAGTGGAGGCAGGACAAGCCTTCAGTGGGAAGGTCGCTGCTTCTCGCTTTGTAAAAGCAACACCCACTTGTTGGTCATGGGTGGTGACGAAACGATCCCCATGACGACAGTGAGCTTTCTGTGGAAGGGTCAGGCACTCAGCTCCTCCCACCATGTGACAAGTGCTACGCCACGTGTGTGACTGACAGCCAGGGGACAGCGTGTGGCAGAAAACCAGCAGGGTCGAGATAGCACCTCCCAGCCCTGTTCTGAGGTGACCAGCAGGCTCTCTGAAAAGCACATGATGTCACCATTTGCCACCACAACCCCAGGCTCAGCCAGTTCCAGAAAAGGGTCAGAGCACACCTACCGTGCTGTCCTTGGGGACTTTCATCTTCCACACGCCGCCCTTTGCATTACTCTCCTCCTCCCTGGATCAAAGACCAACGGCTACAGTTATACTCAAGGATTCAGTGGTTGTGCACAACGACTTTAACAACAGATGGCATTAAAAACAAAAAACAAGCAGCGTTCCTCAGTGAACTCTCCTGGCCCTCTAATGGAAACGCAGCAGAGGGAAGAAGAAGGGGTGAGGATGGGAGGAGAAAGCAGGAGGCCACAGGCAGGGACCGTGGGGGACCCAGGTTCCAGGCCCAAGCAGGTGGCACCGTGAGGCCCCCTGGATGACCTGGGTGGACAGTTAATACAGCGTCCCACCTGTGTGCAGGTCTTCACATTTCAATAGTGGGACAGCGGCCTTGGATCTGAGGTCCGTTAGGAGACCCAGCCTCTTCGGTGGGAAGTTGCTGTGTCTCCCACTTTCCTACCTGCTTCCTCTTCTGAGAGCACCCTGATGTCCCTTTCAGGAGCCCCCTGTCCCTACTCTGATGCCAGGCCCATTCGGACAGGGTGACTGCACAGCCTGGATTGGCCAGGGGACACTGCCTCTCCTCATGCCTGTGACCTGCCAGGGATGAGAGGTGACCGTGCGACCAAGGAGCGCTGGCCCTGGTGTCTTCCCGGGGCTGGTGAATGCTGCCGTGACAAACTCGTGAAGTGCGAGCCTGGAGGATGTGAGCCACTCTGCCACCACCAGTGGGAGGGCCTGGAACCGCCCAAGTGGAGGAAGCCGAGCAAACCTGAGTGTCACGGTTCTGTGACTCCAAGCACTTACCTGTCAGAGAGCAGCCCGGCCCCTTCTCAGGTACAGGGCCCAAAATTCCATTCTTTGGCTGAGATTTAGTTCCTGTCACTTGCTACCAAAGAAGCTGACATACATCCCCATTTTATTCACGAGTATGTAACTCAGAACAGTTAAGGTACATGATGTAAGGAAGTGTTACTGACTGGGACCCCAGCCCGGGCAGACTGGCTTTCTGGGCAGCACCTTCACCACTGCACCGAGCCATTCAAGGAGGACAATGCCCGGCCAGTGTGGCTCCGTGGCTGAGCACTGACCCTGCACCAAGAGGTTGCCGGTTGAATTCCCGGTCAGGGCACATGCCCAGGTTGTGGGCCAAATGCCCGGAGGGGGAGGCATGCAGGAGGCGGCCAACTGATGTTCTCTCTCATCAATGTTTCTCTCTCTCTCTTCCTGTGTGTCTAAAATCAATAAAAACATTTTTTTTAAAGGATGCCCCCTACCCCGCCCAGCCTCCCAGCCAGTGTGGCTCAGTGAATTGAGCAACAGCCCATGTACCAGGAGGTCACTGGTTCAATTTCTGGTTAGGGCACATGCCTGGGTTGTGGGGGTCAATTCCCAGTGAGGGGTGTGCAGGTGGCAGCCAGTCGATGTTCTTTCTCATCAATGTTTTTCTCTCCCTCTCCCTTTCTTTCTTTGATATTAAGAAAAACATATTAAAAAAAAGGATGCCCTCCCCTGCCCAGACCCTAGGCCAGGGTCCGTCCCACACACTTTCTGTGGTCCCCGTGAGAGAGGCGTCTTTGGTGGCTCCATCTGCTCAACCACTCCACAGGCATGGACCCCACACCTGTCTTCCTCTGCTCCCCACCAGTCTGGAAGCTTTTCCACTCAACTGCCAAAGTCCTTCCTGGCAAGTGAAAGACACCCCAGTGGCGCGGGCCCCACACACGGCCGGCATTGCCCCTCTGAGGTGAGTGTGCCCTCTCTGTGGAGACTGGGCGGGGCCCGGGGGGGGGCAGCGGGAGCAGGGGGGGCAGGGGCTCACTTCGCAATCAGGCAGGAGCTTCCCCGAGGAACGTGGGCGGCACTGCCCTTCGGCAGAGTGTGCAGTGCGGGCGGCCACCCCCCCCAGCCTCGCGTGAACATCAGACACTTACCAAAGTGGCCGCCTCTCTCCTCGCATTAAATGATAACTACATCTCAAAGGCAGGCTAGTCACAGGAGGAATATTATTGTACACACTCCAGAATATCTTTAAAAGAAAAACACTTTGTTTAATATACCCAGTATTGATCTTTACTATGCCACTAGATTATAAAATTAATGAATTAAAGAAAAAAATCAGATCCTCATTAAGTTCTATCAAGTCAAAACAGATTTTTCTCAGTGTTCTAATCATCTGCTAGAAAATGTTACCATGATATTGAGCACTGTCCCTTGCCAACATGGCCCAGCCCGCACTTCACCACACGTGGGCACTGAGTGACCCTCCCTGTGTGTCTCCTCGTAAAACTGGGCGGGGGGGGGGGGGCGGGGGGCGGCTGCGACGATTCCCGACAGCCGGGTGGCATCGGTATGGTCTGCAGGGCCAACGTCTGTGCTGGTCCCGGGGTCCTGTCAGACTCCTCTCCACGCCCAGCACCGCCCCCTGGGATAGAGGGAAGAAGGAATGGAAGGATAAAGGGATGAAGGGACGGAGGGACGGAGGGATGAAGGGACGGAGGGATGAAGGGACGGAGGGACAGAGGGAAGGGACGGAAGGATGAAGGGGTGAAGGGACGGAGGGACGAAGGGACGAAGGGACGGAGGGATGAAGGGACGGAGGGATGAAGGGACGGAGGGACAGAGGGAAGGGACGGAAGGATGAAGGGGTGAAGGGACGTAGGGACGAAGGGACGGAGGGAAGAAGGGACGGAGGCAGTGCAGGGCTGGCCAAGCTGAGTGTCTCTGTTCTCCCCAGGTTCAGAGTGGCTTCACGAGGAGACATGGCCTTTGGGAGTGATGAGGACACCAGGGTGAAGCTGGAGACGGCACAGGTGCCCTCTGGAGGAGGAAGAGAGCTCTGTCTGCAGCAGGGAGTGCCTCTGTCTGAACACCAGGACCAAGCTCCCCCGCCCCAGCCCACCAGGCTGGCACCTGGTCCTGGATGCCCAGCCTCTGGGACTGAGAAATTGCTGTCTGTGCTGGAAGCCACCTCTACAGCACTGTTACAGCGCCCAGATGAATGGAGACAGAAACACTGCACAAAAGTAATAGAGTAGTAACAGCAGCAACAGTGCAGGCTCTGTCTCTTCAATTTTGCATGTTCGTATGGCTGTCGGAGACCTGACATGAGGTTAGTGCCTCTGAGAAACTGATCTCTAGTTTATGCAGTTTTAATTACTTTACATTTGAATAGATCTATGTGGCTAATGGGTGCTCTACTGGACAATGCAGGTATAACATCTACTTCATTAATATTTTACTGTAATATTAGTGCTCATTTAAATCTAGTGAAGATACTATGTATAACATAGAATACATTTCCATGTTTATGGAATGTGTTCCAATGACAACTCATTAGGAGACACTATTATGATGCTTGCTTCATAGACAAGACAACTGAGGCACAGCGATGACCTGCTCAGGCGTCACTGCCGTGACCGGGAGGGCCTGATGCGAATTCGGGGTGAAGAACCAAGCCTCCCCAGGGGGTGGCGAGGTGAGCAGGGGCGACCGCGTCAGCACAGCGACACAACTGGAGGAACGAGGCCTCCAGCGTCCTGAGAATCAGCGCTGGTGCTGAGACGGTCTGTGCTGAATGGCACCCGGACTGGGTGTTTGGGCCGGTCCTGTGAAAACATTAAAGCTGAACTAATTGCAAGGGCGGCAACAATAAACTGTAAAATACAACTGAAGGCAAAGAACTACCTGCCAGTGGATGTACTAACTGGGGTGCCTTTGGTCCCCTGAGCTAAGCAGGGCTAATGTGGGCAGCAGCTGAAGTGGATCTGTAGGGACAGGAGGTCCTCAGACAGCACCCACCTTTAGGGAAGCACTGAAAGAGACCAGAGTTTGCTACCCCAAAATATGCCTTTTGGCACACCGATGACTTTAGGCTGGTTAACCTTAACAATCAAAAAACTCAGAAAAGAACCTCAGACTCTCCCGTTCCTGCTTAAGGACTCAGAGGAACACCTGCTTTGGCGGCAGACTCAGCAGGTAAGCTCAGTGGGCAGACGGGGAGGGGCAGAGTGCCCGTGAGCCCCTCTCTGCCCACTGCTCCGGGTGTCACGTGCGCTCCTTCTCACCGCCCTGCGAGCTGCCCTGTCCTCTGTGTAGCCCAGAACGGCACAGAAACTTCAACTGCCCGATATGCCTGGGGTCTCATGTTCTTTTGGAATCCCCATATATAAGACATAATAAATTAGGTAATTTTCTCTGGTTAATCTGTCTCACATCAATTTACTAGTCCAGTCAGACTTTAGAAAGCTGGGGGGGCCTGGCCGGCGTGGCTCAGTGGCTGAGCATCACCCATGCACCTAGAGGCTCAATGCCCAGTCAGGACACATGCCTGGATTGTGGGTCCGATCCCCAGTGGGGGGCATGCAGAAGGCAACCAATTGATGTTCTCTCTCATCGATGTTTCTCTTTTTCCCTTTCTCTCTCTCTAAAATCAATATAAAAAGAAAAAATATATTAAAAAAAAAAAGATGGGCGGGAGGAAAATGACTTTCCCACCCTCATAGTTTCTGCCCTATAAATGATGTGCTCTCAGTGCACAGGTTATGCCGATATTGTTTCTGTCCGTGGTGTGCACATGATGAGGCAGAGCTGGAGTCTGATGCCAGGCAACGTGATTCCAAAACCTGTGTTCCCAACCACTAAGCTATTTCCTCTGAAAATGTTTCTGTGTTTCTGACACACCTGCCCTCCATCTCGGAAGCCACCGCCAGGCCGGAGTCCCAGAGCGAGGGCATGTTTACAGGTGCTCTCAGCAGCAGGCCCTCCATGGCGTCCCGTGCTGGTGCCGGAGCTCCAGCCTGGGCTCTGGCTGCGATGGGCGACAGCCACGCAGAATCCATGGACAAGGCGATGCTACACTGGACACCCTGCCTTAGGTGAACAAGAAGGACTTGGGTGCAGGCGAGCGTCAAGTCTCCTGAACAGCGCCCCCCAGAGCACCCGCCTCACAACTCGGCCCAAGGTCTTGAACCCTGACCATTTACCTCCTGTTTTCAGCAACCTGAGGAAAACAACAACAAAATCTTCTCCTGTTCCAAAGATAAGAAAACACCCTAAGGATTGTGCTGAAGTTTATAGCTTTACAAGCTTCTCCTGAAAACAAAATCAGAAACACACACTGGTTCCCTTAGTCTCGGTGAATGTGACAGGAGGTGACAGACCCAGCAGACAAGCCCTGCCTTGCGGACTCGCTGGAGAGCAGCCGCGGCCGCAGCCTGTGCCCGAGGACACGGAGCGGACATGTGTGTGGCCCCACGGGGCCCATTCCTGCTGCAGACCGCACACAGCATTTGCTGCTTTGCACGACGGTGGAGCAGCTCCAAGGAGCCACGTCACACGGCCCCTGACTCTCTCCCTTCCTGCAGAAGAGAAAGGGCTGGAAGCTTGATAATTCACGATCCTCGTCCTTGTAATACTTTTTATTTTTTGGTTGAAACACTTAAATCTTACTAGAGATAGAACCCTGCAAATAGATTTCAAAGGCAATTAGGCTTGAGATGAATTCTATTTGGACCTGCCAACAGTAGACTGCAGTAAAACTGAAACTAAGCCCAGTGTTTATCAATGGTGGTCAAGGGCTTTTCCCTGGACATGTACGAGCTGGGAGTCATGCATGGTCAGCACCTGGATCCAGGGCCCCTGGGGAGCGGAGCTGACCATGAGGGGCGGCCTTCCCAGGGCCCACTCCTCCTTGATGGGCGAGTTTGCGAGCATCGTCCTGGCACCTCCTCTGCCTAAGAACCAAGGCAGATCAGATGCTTGTCCAATGGAGTCTTACGTCCGGTGGCATCCGCCTGGGTCTAAGACCGATGGCCTTCACTGGCCACAGCCCCGAGACCCAGGCTTCCTCCTCCATGAACAGGCATGCAGCAGCCTCTCTGGGCACCTCACGCCAGGCTCAGGAAGCAGGTGCGCTTACACTCATCTGCCAGAGACGACCCGTGCAAAGTCCCCAGCTCCCTGGCTCTGCTGGGCACCGACGCCCACCTAAAAGCCTCTGCAGAGCAGATGACCATCCACCCTCAGGGAAATCAGACATCTCTACTGGAAGGTTCTAAAGGAAAAACAAGAGAATATACTTGAGAAAAAAGAAGCCATGTGGTGACAAGACAGGTGTGAAATAGACACACCCAGCAGACACCTCCAACCCCAAACCTGCGAAGTCCAGGGATTCTGGCGAGGCTGCAGCATATGAAGCGAGAGAGTATGTCTGAAATACTAAACAAGCATTTTCTTGCATCAGGTATTTCTGGTTACCTGGGCCTCACTTCCCACCAACTGAGTCACTGGTATTTGTGGGGAGAGCAGACAGCTCGGAACAACGGAGGCGACCGAACAGCGACGGGCGTTTCTTGTTTTTTATTTATTTTTTATTTTTATCCTCACCGAGGACATTTTTCAATATTTTGTTCAGATAGAGTGGGAGGGAGAGAGAGGAAGAGAGAGAGAGAGAGAAACATCGACGTGAAAGGGACACATCGAGTGGCCGCCACCCGCACGACCTGACCAGGGCCGGGGACAAACTGCAGCCGAAGTACATGCCCTTAGCGGGAACCGAACCCGGGTCTCTGTAGACCGCAGGCCAACCCTCTAACCGCTGAGCCACACCGGCCAGGGCGCGACGGGCGTTTCTAACTGACAGCGACACAGGGCTGAGGGCAGGATGCGGTGCCACGGGCTGGCTCCCTGAGGGAGGGCAGGGCTTGGTCTGGACTCCCGAGGGCTCACTCAGGGAGAGCGAGGACTGACAGCCACGCAGAGCAGAGGAAGGGTGTCGGGCCACCCCCACCACGCAGGACCGATGAGAACAGTCTGAGCTGGGACCTAAGTGGGGCGTGGACTTTAGGGAAGTTCCTGAACAGCTGGGAAATGGAGCAGAGCAGCCATCGGCCGACGACTCATCATTGAGACTGATATTTTTACGTACACAGGGCTTCAGAGAAAACCCAAAGAACGGATTGGACTGAGAGACAACATGTAACAAAGGGTGACCCTCTGTGAGGAGGCGACCAGGGCTGGGCCACAGGA